ATGGGTCCATCTAAGTTGAACCGTGAAAGTGCATGACGAAACGTTTCAGTGAAAACCACTGAGTAAAACAAATAACTACAGGCACTTCTGATCATTTCTTTCACTTTAAACTTGCGGATTGTGAGAAAGGTGTGCATTGCTTGATATCTATCAGTTCAGAAATGCAATTATCAAACTTATCTGCTAGAATAATATAAAACGGGTTGTAAGGCTAACGCAGAAAGGGAGTAATAAAGTTGTCACTAAGGTGTAGAATTTTGTGTGTGTGTGTGTGTGTGTGTGGCTAAGTTAAAGCAACATTCAGGTATTTCTTTGACTGTGTAACGGGTGTTACTAAACAGAGTAACGCAGTAACGAGTAACGAGTAACGGAATAACGAGAAAACGAGTAACGGGATAAAAATTCAAGAGGTTAAAAAAAATTTTAAAAAATAACTCCTAATGAAAGAAAAAACGTAAAAATGGTTGTAATTTCGTAATTATGACCTTTACCAATCTCGAAAAATATGTGTATTCCAAAAACGACGTCAATCTCCCCCACCCCTCCCTCCAGCAAAGTCGAAGGTATTTTCACGCCGAAAAGTCACCTAATCCCCGAGGAACAACCATCAGAGGAAGTAAGCTACAGATTTTCTTCTTACTGCCAAACTTATTTCATTTCTTATTAGAAATAGCTCTGTCAGGTAAATCAAAATAATGGAACCTTGTTGGGTCCTTATTATGGTTATCAAGTAACCAAGTACTCGATTGAATTGCCAAGGCTTAGAAACGGTTTGCTCGCTTATTACTGCCGGGGTTATAACCTTTCCTGCTCAACTTTAAATGTCTCGTAACTCCTCGAAAATTTGGGATTCGACTTACTAATACTACCTTCCAAAAGTTAAGTAAAGTGAATGTTTCCACCGTTTTAAAAGGAATTATAAATCATGTTTACAACTAACCTACCGATGTAAAGACTCTGAAATTTGAATTAAGGCGGCAAAATAGAAATGCAAAGCGAGACTAGTTTTTAGATCGATTGTCGATTAAAGTAAAGCTGAAGTAAAGAAACATTCAAATGGATTGGTTTGTTCGAAGTTGCGTTTAACATCAATCAATTCAGAATAACTGAATCATAGTTACTATCAGGGCATGAAATTAACTCCTTTTTGGTAGGATCCACTTGGCTACTTTAATATTTCAAAGAGGTAGCCAATTCCACAAGTAGAATAAGTGCTTAGTCCCCAGAAAAAAAATAGAAACGAAACAAAACAAGAACAAACAGAACAAACAAGGAGAAAACGACTGGTTTACTACATGTTATTTAAGAGCCGTGAGATCCTCCAAATTTGCAAGTTTTGAACCCAAATGATTCTAGCAGGTAATCAAAGTAAGCAAAGAGGACCCCTACGTATCTACTTGGAAAACCAAGATGGCGTTCGCCAGCGACAGAGTTTCCTAGTGAAATATGTGTCATCAATTTTGCATGATCGTCACAGACATTGGCGCCTGTATTAGTTGCAATTTCACGCCCTGTCATAACATGCAATTACATGAACTAATCTTATGTTAGGACCTATTTAGAAATTAGGAGCTTAAGTGGCACTTGAAGAGGGGTTTTACCATCCTGTGACTACGAAGAGGGGCCTGCATTTGGCATAAGAAGTACTTTCCTTAATCTTCTCACAAAATTTAATTTAAATCCATACATTAGTTATCACAATCGTTCACACTGAAACCTTGAAACTTGGGGTAGGGTAATGCCATATATTGTCTAAAAAAGAATGCGTGACAAAACAAACTTTCTGTTTCTTTTCCTCATGATCTTTAATAATAAGCACAATTTATACAGCGGGATACACTTAAACTAACCATACGGAAATCAATGTTATTGATGCAGATGTCGATGTTGGTACTACTCATGGACAGTGGCTTAAAACCAGTATATGCAGTTTTGTTCAGTTGCAAATATTCTATGATTTGTGACAATTGTTCAGAACCTCGGCACTTTTAAGATAGTCTTCCTGTTTCCGGGCTGTCGGAAATAACCTTTTAAATTACAAATAACAGCGCGAGTCAAGTAACTTTTTCGGCGCGAAAATACCTTCGACTTTGCTGGAGGGAGGGGCTTGGGGGGGAGGTTGACTTCGTTGTTTCAAGCCCTTTTTGGAATATGCATATTTTTCGAGATTAGCAAAGGTCTTTAGTAGGATATTACAACCATTTTTTATGTTTTTTTCTTTCATTAGGAGTTATTTATTTATTTTTT